TTTTTTTTCTCTTTTCTTTCTTTCACGCTTTCTTTTCTTATTTTTGTAAGCTACCGGTTTCTAAAGGAAATGGAAGCCATGATCTCACTTTGATATATATATGCCATCTTTTCTTCCCCATTTAATTAGTGTACAAGTGGCCTAAGCTTATTAGACAAGGTGTAAAGTAAATGGAATGAAAGGTGTAAAGTGGTGGGTTTCTTATTCCAACTTGGTGAGTTGGCTTCCATTGCATTAAATGATGGGGCTTAGGTTTCTAATTAACAACTAACTAGGTAATTAAGCTAAATAAGTCCCTAAAATAGTTTGGTTCAAGTAACATACATACACATCAAATATGTTTGCGGTAGATGTATTACGGGGCGACCTCTTATCAAGTAGCAACGACCCAACTTCTAGACACAAGTAAATCCTATACTTTTTAGATTAGAAACTAGATATATTAATTCAAAACATATCCAAAAATTAGACTAAAATAAAAAACACATGATTAATAACATAATTTTGAATTTTAAGAATCAATCTATCCAGCGAGTAGTTCATCCAAAACAGTATGTACTAAAACAAACATAACTTTTTATATATAAACCTAATAATAAAAATATTTTTCAGAGGGTTATTTGAGAAATAGATAAACAACTTTTATTCTTTAAGATTCACCCAGAAATCAATCTAAGGTCCTTGACCAGGCCACACAAAATCTGGACAAAACCTAATTCTCAAGAATATTAATTTTGCATACTTGATTCCTCTACCAGTTAAACAATCAATCTCGGGCAAAATAGCTTTAGTTTAACATAAATTATACATTTTAAGCATTAAGTTCTTATGGTGTAGTTCTCACTTGTATGATATGTTCCAAACAATTAGATAAATTGTCCAAAATTTTATTTCATAAATCCTCACCTAAACATCTAGCATTTTGTCATCCCAAAATACTAACATGGCACATATACATAATCACACCTTCACTTAGTATACTATATTTGAATATTCCGACCTATATATATATATATACTAATGGATTTTCATGGGGGTTACATTATGCATTCATTTAACTATTAATTTATGTCTTGTTTAACAACTTGTATCCTTTTGATATTTGTGTTAGTCATATCTTTAAGACATTCTATGTGTATGTTGACATATATGGATTGACATGAAAGTCAATTAGTAAGCAAACTAAAGAGTTATATCGGGGAAGAGTTTGAGGTAGTTTTTAGCTTAATTTATTATGTGACTATATATTTCAATTAAGAAACATTAATGTTCATTTAAATATACTAATGAACTTTTTTAATGTTCTTACGAAGTCCTTTAAATAGGAGTGGGAGATAGATCTAAGCATAAAGAAAGCATGACAAAGTCTAGCATGAAAGCGATATTTTGACTTTCTTTATCAAGTAAAGAAACACCCCAAACCAACATATATCTAATAGGAAATATGGGATGCATGACATAAGAAATGGGCAAAACCTAAGTCTCATGCTCAATTTGAGTTGGCGACTTGGAACCACCGGAGTGAGACGAGTGTCATCGGAGCTGGCCCATCTAGACATATGAGGGTTCAATCATCCACAATGAACACACAATACGCATGGTAAATCTTATTATATATATATATATGTTTGCAAAAATATTTATTATTTATAATTATTGTAACATCAATAAATATTTAAGTATATTTGTTTCAACATAATGATTTAAGTCGGAGACCCAATGCTCACGAGATTTTCTTGAGGACTCATAGGAAAAAGGTTGTTATAATTACAAATTCATCGACCTTTGGGCAAGAATTCTCAAAGTAAGTAATTTATTAGGTTATTTCATACGTATATAACTTATTAAGATAAGTTTTAAATATTAAAATTTGTGTCGTTATGTAGAAGACCATCGAAAAAATATTTGAGGAGGAGGTTGCTAGCTAAAAGAAAGAGGGTACTTCATCGCTCGACATCGATATGAATGATATTCTTAAGAAGGTTGTTGGAGGAGATAGTAAGAGGAAGAGGATGTATGAACTCGGGTCACATGCCTCTCGCTATTACTCGCAATTTTAGTGCATTCTCTAGTTCGAGTCACATCATAGTTTCATGTTGATATTAAGGCATAGCAAAAGAAAATAAAAGCTTATTCTTCGAACAAGCGAGAAATGATTGAGAAACTAAATGGTATAGGTACATCACTCCTAACTATTACAAATTGGTTGGAGCGAGTATGCAATGATGTATTAGATATTGCCAAATATGCAACGAGGCAATTCAACTACCGACCCTCTAACCGATCATCATGCATCCGATGAAAATGAAGATATGTCATGACATGTATCCCTTTCATGGAAATATAATTTTTTATCACTTTTACATTTTTTTCTGAAATATTAATAAACTTTAAATTAATTTGGTGTTTGAATGTATATTTCGTTTTATTGAATTTTATATATCATAAAGATTTCGTAATAGTTATAAATCAATTTCATAGCATTACCGTAGTTGTTAAATTAGAATGTATTGTATTTTTCTTATTAGCGATGAAATAAATAAGTAAAAATATTTTAAAAAAGTAGTGATGATTTTTCGATCGTTGCTAAAAAGGACATTTTCTCACATCTAGGATGGTTTTTTGAAAAAATCGTTAAAAGTGTCACTAATTAGAGATAGATTTAGCAATGGTTTTAAAAAATGATCATTAAATTATCCATATTTTTTGATGGATCTAGCAACGGTTTAACAAACTCATCGCTAAGTCCATGACATCATTTCATTATGAAGCGACGAACTATAATTGTTTTAGCGACGATCAATCCATCGCTAATTTACCGATGGTATACAAAAAATCATTGCTAAAGATTTTTTGACAAGGTTTTTTCATATGGTTTTAACACGTTGCTAATAAATATTAGCAACGATTTTTTGGTTTTTAGCGACAGTTTAAACTCGTCACTAAATCCTCTTGTTACGGTAGTGTTTGACAAACTATAAATGGCATAAGAGGTTTACGTATCGCAGAAATTGCTGCAGAACAAATGTTTATAAAAGTTATGCATACGAAGGTGTTTTTTGTGTTTGAGCTATTAATAGAAAAATAGCTAGAGAATTTATATACCCTTGATTTGATATGTAGGCCTTTGTTAGCAACTCGGTGCATTGTTGTAGCTTCAATATGTCGATTGACTAGCAAAGTCAAACAACGTTGATTATGATGGAGTTTTCTAATTATTAGTCATGAAGAAGCTCAAAAGTAGAGAAATAAACTAGTTTGTGATTGCTTTTTGCTCAATTTTTTTACAAACAATACCACAAATGAGAACGTAATTTTTGGATTAATATTAATGTTTAGATGGCTTTGATCCAGATTGATCGTGTGTTAAAACATAACTCATTATATGAGAAGATCAATGGTGAGTGTCTGCAAAACAAATCCTTTTTGGTGTTTAGAAAATCTTTTGATGGCTAAGTTGTCATACGAAGAGAGGTGTTTGACTTAAATAGACTTAATTGTTTTTTATCCTCTAAGTAAAAGAAGAAATATAATACTATATCACTTATAGTGTTTGGAGACAGAATCTATAACACATGACAAGTTGACCTTTATATGGTAGGAGGAATTATCAACTTGTATGAAATATATGGTTTCCTTAGTCTTTACCCTTTCGTATGATGGACTCTAAAACTTATCTATAAGCTGAGGACCTCTTTGAAGGAATATTTATAAGTATGACGCATATGTAATCATGCCTAGTATTGATATGATACGCACTCTCTGGAACCATACCTACATTAAATGCTTGTTTTTTGTATCTGGCTTGGGAGGGAAAAAAGGATTTCCATTTGGGAGGTTGAATTGTGATATCAGAATGGATTTTGCCTAGCCATGGAGTCCCCGAAATTGAGGAGGCAGTCCCGTCTAAAGTTGTGTTAGGGTCCAGATGACCATTTTATAGACATGGAGAAGACGTGTTGCAAAACAGATTTTACGGGTACATCATAAATCAATTATATATACATACACATATTACAATCTTTTCATCCTCAACCAATCGTTTACGATTTAACAATTGCGAAACTCATTTGTCAATTTTTTCAAAGTATGGCAAGAGACAGAGATTCACAAGCGAGCTGTTGCATACGCACAGGCGTTAGACTTAAACAGAACTTTGACCAGCAAGTTAAATGGTTTGAAAGGTCTCCGACTCAATTCTGGTTAGTTATGATGCAAGCAATGACACACACTGGAAGATCTAGAATTTGAGGAAATTTTTGCTTCAAGAAACATTCGTTAGGATTTGGTTATATTAAGATTTGCTTTCCTTCAATATCATGTACCAAACTAAAAATTTACAATAAACACTAGCAATTGTAAAATTTCCATATTTTCAAATCTGTGCTGTTTTGAGATGGCACAAGTAAAACTACTAGATTTGTGGGCTATTCCTCCGGCAATGAGAGAGAGATTAGCGTAGGCTGAGAAGGGAATAGAGTATGATGCTAAGGAAGAGGACTTGAGAAACAACAGCCCTCTGAACCCAGTGCATAAGAAAATCCCAGTTTTGATCCACAATGGGAAGCCCATTTGTGAATCAATGATCATTGTTGAGTACATTGACGAGGTGTGGAGTGACAAGTCGCCGCTTCTGCCTTCATGCTCATGAGAGAGCTCGTGCAAGGTTTTGGGTTGACTTCATTGACAAAAAGCTGAATCATTTTGTTACACTTGTTTCTTTTTCTTTACTAATACAAGTTTTTATGTTAAAAGCTTATTTTTGACCATATATCTATATATACACGAGGACAAATAACTTGTCATTAAAAAGAATAATTCACTTTTATATTACGTTTTTAAACACACACGCGCTGAATTTGACATAAGATATGCCTTGAATTCGACATCTTTTCTTTGCTTAAAAAAAAATGCATTGACTTTGATAAGATATTCATTAGTAAGTCAACATCTACAAAATCAACGTATAAAATTTGAAAAATTGGAACCAAATAACGTAGATCGTCGACCCTATTAGGCGGTTGGTGTGGACAACAAGCAGTGAAAACAAAGAAGCAGCAGCAAATGATCTCATTGAGTATTTTAAAGTAATGGAACCAGAGCTTGGAGACAAACCCTATATCGAAGGAGAGACCTTTGGCTTTGTTGATGTTGCACTTGTAGGTTTTTTTACTGTCATTAAGGTTGAAGATATGAGTCATCTGGAAATAGAGATACTTTTAATTTTATGCAAACTTGAGCGTATATTTTCATTGAGTTTTTTTGACTCAATTGAACATCATCTAGTCCACTTGGCACAAGTAGAAAAATAACGGGTCCAAGTACAATATCGGTGAAAGTATCTATTTGAAAGGTAAATATATTGATTTTTAACACTTTATTAATATTTTTTTAAAAAAATTCTTAACTAATGTATATAATTCAAGTATCTTTTGACATTAAAAAGCAATGTAAAGAATAAAGCCGAAGTCTGAAGGGTCAATATTCAATGCATATTTAGTTGAACCATAAGCATTCCGTTCATATTACTTTGAGCCTCATATACATACCAAGCATCAAAAAGTGCTATGTAACTTTGAGTATGCTCGAGAACCAAGTGATGATATTGAAGGGATTCTTGTTATATTCAAATAGAGCAAAATCACATGAGTTGATAGATGAAGAATCTCATACCTATATTTTATTGAATTGTGATGAGGTGACACCTTACACTAATAAGTGCTAAAATTAAAAAAAATTTCAATACTAAACTTCATTAATTATCAATTATTTATGTTAAAGATATTAAAACTCTTATAATTATTTTTTCTTCGATAGATATTTCGTGAGCCAACTTTATCAAATTAATCTTGACATATCAAAGAACGAAGTTGATGCTCGACTTGAAAATGATTTTGCATCATGGTTTCGATGATATGTGAGTATCATAAATTTTGAATATTCTTTATTATTAAGATGGAATTTTAAAATTTAATACTAAGCATAAGTAATGGATCTAGAATTTACAAGCAAGTCACAACCTAGCATGATAATCGATCATTACATTAAAGATCTTATAAAAAGGTCATTGTGAATAGGTAAGTCGTATCCAAAATACATTATGAATTGGTATATGTTCCACACCAAAGTTCATGATTCAAATAGAGAAATAATGTGTAGTGGAGTGTTTGTAAAAGAAGCTAATTACGAGTGTATAGGAAAATGATTACTACAGTAGATTGACTAATATACCGAAACTTGAGTATCCTACGTTACCAATCAAGAAGATCATATTGTTCAAATGTGATTGGTATGATACTACACTTGGCATTGTTACAAGAGCTTATGATCTATACATACTTATATAATTAAATAATCGTATGACATAAAATATATCCGTTGCATATATATATATATATATATATATATATATATATATATATATATATATATATATATATATATATATATGTATGTATGTATGTATGTATGTATGTATGTATATGTATGTATGTATGTATGTACGTGTGTGTGTGTGTGTGTGTTTTTTTTTTTTATGTTAATATCAATATTTAACTAATTAATGTAATGACGTCTAAGTTATACCTTATGGTAGGGGATGTTTCCACATTTAGTGGATAATGTCATATAGTAAGGGTCGTATTTAGACAATAATGATGGCAACAACTACGGACTTAGGCATAGTCCCGCTTCGTTCGAAGTTAGATGCCCCCTTCCTCATTGACATGTCCGCATATCACCCTTCCCCTATCACCATGTCAAACTCAAACTCATCACCATTTGACATGTCTCAGCTTGAGTTGCATTATTATGGACCTCTACATCTCCATCCATTTAAACCTTCATCGTTATTAGGGCCTTCAACCTAACAGGATGACCATTATGTTCCTAATCATAGCTCATCACCAATCATTCCTTCCTATTTGGCTTTTGTACCTATCGGTTCTACGTTCAATCATTGGATCGTGATTACTATCGTTGCTACCAAGAAGTACATATTATGAATATTTTTTAAAATATTTTTTAGTGTATTATCAAATTTATACATTCATTTAACTATTAATTCATGTCTTGTTTAATAACCCGTATCTTTTCGATATTTGTGTTGGTCGTATCTTTAAGATATTCTATGAGCATGTTGACATATCCGAATTGATGTGAAAGTCAATTAGTGAGTAAACTAAAGAGTTATATTGGAGGGGGTTTAAGGTAGTTTTTAGCTTAATTTATTATGTGACTATATATTTCAATTAAGAAACATTAATCTTCATTTAAATGTACTAATGAACTTTTTTAATGTTCTTACAAAAGTCCTTTAAGTAGGAGTGGGAGATAAAGCTAAGCATAAAGAAAGCATGACAAAGTCTAGCATGAAAGCGATATTTTGACTTTCTTTATTAGGTAAAGAAACACCCTAAACCAACATATATCTAATAGGAAATATGGGATGCATGACATAAGAAATGAAAAAAACCTAAGTCTCATGCTCAATCCGAGCTAGTGACTTGGAACCACCGGAGTGAGACGAGTGGCATCGGAGCTAGCCCATCTAGACATATAAGGGGTTCAATCATCTACAATGAACACACAATAAGCATGGTAAATCTTATGATATATATATGCAGAAATTATTTGTTATTTATAATTATTGTAACATTAATAAATATTTAAGTATATATGTTTCAACATAACGAGTTAATTCGTAAACCCGATGCTCACGAGGTTTTCTTGAGGACTTACGTAAAAAAGATTGTTATAATTACAAATTCATCAACCAATGGGAAAGAATTCTAGAAGTAAGTAATTTATTAGGTTATTTCATACGTATATCACTTTTATATAACTTATTAAGATAATTATTTAATATTAAAATTTGTGTAGTTATGTAGAAGATCATCGAAAAATATTTGAGGAGGTCGCTAACCGAGAGAAAAAAGGCTCTTCATCGCCCAACATCTACATGAATGAGAATCTTAAGAAGGTTGTTGGAGGAGGAGATAGCAAGAGGAAGAGAATGTATGAACTCGTGTCACATGCCTTTCACTATTACTCCAATTTTAGTACATCCTCTAGTTCGATCACATCATAGTTTCATGTTGATACTAAGATACAACAAAAGAAAATGGAAGCTTATTCTTCGAACAAGCAAAAAAGATGAGAAACTAAATGGTACAGCTTACATCACTCCTAACTATTACAAATTGGTTAGAGTAGTATGCGATGATGCAAGTAGATATTGTTGAATATGCAAAGAGGCAATTCAATCGCCGATCCTCTAACCGATTATCATGCATCTAATGGAAATGAAGATATGTCATGACATGTATCCTTTTCATCGCAATATAATTTTTTTTTATCATTTTTATGTTTCTTTTCTAAAATATTAATAAACTTTAAAATAATTTGGTGTTTGAATGTATATTTCGTTTTATTGAATTTTATATATTATAAAGGTTTTGTAATATTTATAAATCTATTTCATAGTATTACCGTAGTTGTCAAATTGGAATGGATTGTATTTTTCTTATTAGCGATGAAATAAATAAGTAAAAATATTAAAAAATTAGTGTTGATTTTTCAATCGTTGCTAAAAAAGACATTTTCTCACATTTAGGGAAGGTTTTTTGAAAAAAATCACTAAAAGCGTCGCTAATTAAAGATAGATTTAGCAATTGTTTTAAAACATGATCGCTAAATTGTCCATGTTTGGCGATGGATCTAGCAATGGTTTAACAAACCCATCGCTAAGTCCATGACCTCATTTCATTATGAAGCGACGGATTATAATTGTTTTAGCGATAGTCAATCCATCGCTAATTTACCTATGGTATGCAAAAAATCATCACTAAAGATTTTTTGACAAGGTTTTTTCGTACGATTTTAACCCGTGGCTAATAAATATTAGTGATGATTTTTTGGGTTTTAGCGACAGTTTAAACCATCACTAAATCCACTTATTTTGGTAGTGTTTGACGGACTATAAGTGGCATAAGGGGTTTGCGTGTCACGTAAATTATTGTAGAACAAATGTTTATAAAAGTTATGCATACAAAGGCATTTGTTACTTTTGAGGTGTTAATAGAAAAATGGCTAGAGAATTTATTTACCCTTGATTTGATAAGTAGGCCTTTATTAGCAACTCGGTGCATTGTTGTAGCTTCGGTATGTCGATTGACTAGCAAAGTTGAACAACGTTGATTATGATGGAGTTCCCTTATTATTAGTCATGAAAAAGCTCAAAGATAGAGAAATAAACTAGTTTGCGATTGCTTTTTGCTCAATTTTTTGCAAACGATACCACAAATGAGGATGTAATTCTTGGATTAATAGTGATGTTTAGATGGCTTTGATCCAGATTGATTGTGTGCTAAAACATAACTCATTATATGAGAAGATCAACGGTGAGTGTCTACAAAACAAATCCTTTTCTAGTGTTTAGAAGATCTTTTGATGGCTAAGTCATTGTACGAAGAGAGATGTTTGACTTAAATAGAATTAATTTTTTTTATCCTCTAAGTAAGAGAAGAAATATAATACTATATCAATTATAGTGCTTGGAGACAGAATCTATAACACATGACAAGTTGACCTTTATATGGTAGCAGAGATTATCAACTTGTATGAAATATATGGTTGCCTAGTCTTTACCCTTTATTATAATGGACTCTGAAACTTATCTATAAGTTGAGGACCTCTTTGAAGTAATATTTATAAGTATGACGCATATGTAATCATTTCTAGTATTGATATGATACGCACTCTTTGGAACCATACCTACATTAAATGCTTGTTTTTTGTCTCTGGCTTGCGAGGGAAAAAAAGATTTCCATTTGGGATGTTGACTTGTCATATCAGAATGGATTTTGCCTAGCCATGGAGTCCCCGAAATTGAGGAGGCAGTCCCGTCTAAAGCTGTGTGAGGGTCCAGATGACCATTTTATAGACATGGAGAAGACGTGTTGCAAAACAGATTTTACGGGTACATCATAAATCAATTATATATACATATACATATTACAATCTTTTCATCCTCAACCAATCGTTTATGATTTAACAATTGCGAAACTCACAATTCATCATTTGTCAATTTTTTCAAAGTATGGCAAGAGACAGAGATTCACAAGCGAGCTGTTGCATATGCATAGGCGTTAGACTTAAGCAAAACTTTGACCAGAAAGTTAAATGGTTTGAAAGGTATCCTACCCAATTCTGGTTAGTTATGATGCAAGCAATGACACACACTGTAAGATCTAGAATTTAAGGAAAATTTTGCTTCAAGAAACATTCATTAGGATTTGGTTATATTAAGATTTGCTTTCGTTCAGTATCATGTACCAAACTAAAAATTTACAATAAACACTAGCAATTGTAAAATTTCCATATTTTTATATCTGAGCTGTTTTGAGATGGCACAAGTAAAACTACTAGATTGGTAGGCTAGTTCTCCTGCAATGAGAGAGAGATTAGCGTAGGCTGAGAAGGGAATAGAGTATGAGGCTAAGGAAGAGAACTTGAGAAACAACAGCCCTCTGAACCCAGTGCATAAGAAAATCCCAGTTTTGATCCACAATGGGAAGCCCATTTGTGAATCAATGATCATTGTTGAGTACATTGACGAGGTGTGGAGTGACAAGTCGCCGCTTCTGCCTTCATGCTCATGAGAGAGCTCGTGCAAGGTTTTGGGTTGACTTCATTGACAAAAAGCTGAATCATTTTGTTCCACTTGTTTCTTTTTCTTTACTAATACAAGTTTTTATGTTAAAAGATTATTTTTGACCATATATATATATATATATACGCACACGAGGACAAATAACTTGTCATTAAATCGAATAATTCACTTTTATATTACGTTTTTAAACACACGCGCTGAATTTGATATAAGATATGTCTTGAATTCGACATCTTTTCTTTGCTTAAAAAAAATGTATTGACTTTGATAAGATATTCATTAGTAAGTCAACATCTACAAAATCAACGTATAAAATTTGAAAAATTGGAACCAAATAACGTAGATCGTCGACCCTATTAGGCGGTTGGTGTGGACAACAAGCAGTGAAAACAAAGAAGCAGCAGCAAATGATCTCATTGAGTAATTTAAAGTAATGGAAGCAGATCTTGGAGACAAACCCTATATCGAAGGAGAGAGCTTTGGCTTTGTTGATGTTGCACTTGTACGTTTCTATAGCTGGTTCTTTATACTTATAAGACACTTGGAAACTTTAGCATTGCTAAGGAGTACCCCAGGCTTTTTGCATGGGGTAAAAAATGTCCAAGACTCTTCCTGAACCATGTAAAGTTTATAAGTTCATTTTGGAGTACAGGAAGAAGCTGGGAATCGATTTAACTTCTAATACATAATACATACATAATTAACTAGTACCACACAATAAGGCTTTATGCCATTATTTTGTGTGTGAATTTCTCTTGATTACCTGAAGGGCTTCAGCTTCTCTTCGTTTACCTCTTTCGTTTTGTATTGATTGCCTGGCCTAAAGCCCAATAAGCACAGGGCATTATAGCAAAAAAGAACCGCTTACAGAGGATCCATCTATTAGGTTTAGGCCATATCCAGCCTATGAAGAATTACAGCAAAGTTAAATTTTTTAAAATAAATATGTTTTACTGCATTTTTTTTTAGTTTATTTGAGGACGGTTGAGTTTTAGAAGCTATTAAATATGCAACTATTATATATATAACAGTGAAACGAACACAACGTAAATTATAGTTCGACGAATAAAAAAAATTGCAAAATACCATGTTGAGTTTCTTTTGATCCTGGAGAACTAGACACAAACAAGCACAACAAAACTACAAAGAAGGACAAAAAAATAGTTTTTTTTTTCCTACAAGTTTTGTTTAGCCCAATAGATCGATTCCAAATCCAGCCACCAACTGAATTTACGCTTGTGCAAAACCCAATGCCAGATAAATTAAAACAAAAAGGCAATCGAAGAACAGAATGATCCATTGTTTCATTAGCTTGCAGGCATAAAGACGGAAGAGGATCAATAAATCTTCCTCATTTAGTTCAACTGTCCTCGAAACACAATTATTTGATCTGAATTACAAAACCTGCAGGTTGTGTACCTAATGAAGGGCTCTAAAGATTCTTACAACATTCAACTCTACTCCGTTTGATTCAAATAGCATCCCAGTTGCCACTTCTAACAGAATACTTGCCCTTATAAATAAGTTTCCACACAGCACAATCATGCTTTTGGAAATTTAGTAAAATTAGCCACAAGTAGCAACATGAAAACCGGATAATTTGATCTACCAAATATTTTCCTTGATCTCCATTGCCACTTTAGTATGGGATATATATCATGCGTCAAGTATGGTTATTCTTTCGTGGTATTTATTGATTAGAGAAGCCTTGCAATATGCCATGAATTCTACCACAAAAAGAGCGCTTTTACCATTAACAATAATAATAATAATAAAGAAACCCATTGTCTAAGGAGCAGGTCCGACTTTTATCAAATTTTCAAAAATCCAACTACTATTTTGACACTTTTACTACCAATAAAACTTCTCTGTTATGAAATAATGAATATCCATCATCATGTTCATCTATTTTTTATATCCTAACTACTCTTGATTCTTAATATGATTCAATTCATCATTTAATATGAGAAATTGAAAGGGTGATACAATTGATTATTCATAGTTCCTTCCAATTCTCTCCTCAATTTTGAAACCTATAAATAAGCTTGATTGTTCATTAGTTGGTGTATAAGTTTCCTAGAGAGAATAAGAGAAACTTTAAAATTCTTATAATTCATATTCACATTATATTGATTTCATTTTCTTGTCATCCTTTTCTTCATTTCTTCTATCATTTCTATTTATTTTATAATATGTTATCAGCACGAAGCTCTAACCAATTGAGACAATAGACTATGAGGTATGTATCTACCAAAAGATTTAATCAATTGTTTCAACAATTGGATTTCTTCTACACAAGTGCTCCACGAAAAGATCTAAATTATTTAGATCATTAAGAGATATGTATCTAATTTATTCATGTATTTTAAATCTATTGATACATGAAATATATATTTGAAAAACTTAAATGATCTACTAATGATCTAATATATGTTATTTGAAAAGCTTTAATTTTATTATTATATTTGTTCTTATTTTCTAATATTATTATTATATATTATATTATAGAATTTTTATCATATCAAACCTCATAAACTTGATTTGGTGACTCTTGATATTTTGAATAAGAATTATTGATTATGAGTGCTTGATTTTGAAAAATATTCTCTACTTTTTATGTCTTGGATATTCTCCTGCAGTAGCATATCGAGAAAAAGAGTTTAAGTAATATTTTGGATTTATTTTATACTTGTTAGTGGCTAAATAAAATGAAAAAGAATAAATCTCGTCCAATTGGATCTATTCCATTCCACGAAGTGAATGTGACAATTTATAATAATTTTAGGCATGAACGAAGATGTAGTCATACCCATGGATGTTGTCAAAATAATTATTATTATAATTTTGATGACCATAATATTACATCTTACCACCGAAGTGGATAACTATGAAAAAAAAGAAAAGAAAAGAATGAAAATAGATAAAGTCGGCATTCCGAAAATGAATGTTATAAATATGGTATGAATGGACATTAGTCATGTACCTGCCGTACACCAAAGCACCTCATCAAGCCTTGTTAAACCTCGTTGAAAAAGAAAAAAAAGTAAAATGTAGAGGCTAATTTTATATATCAAAGTAATAGTAATTGAAATTAATTACTTGTTAGTTTTTATATTTATATATAAAATATTTTATATTTCTTATAATTTATGTTATATATTGATGGTTACAAATTTATTTTACTATTTATTTATTTGTTTGTGTTTATGAGGAATATATTGATTTATTTATTTTGTATTGATTTATTTGATTATTTATTTTATGTTAATATTATATATGATAATATTAATCTAATAGAAAGCTCTAGAAGAGCGACTATATTATTATCTAAAGAGATAGACTTTGAAGGCTCTAGAAGAGCAATTATATCATGACTTGAAGAGATAAATTTTTGAAGCTCTAGAAGAGTGAATAAATTATTACTTGAAGAGAAAATTTTTAAAGGCTCTAGAAGAGTCGATATATTATTACTTAAAGTGACTAATTTAAAGGCTCCGGAAGAGCAAATATGTTATTATCCGAAAGGATAAATTTATTATGAATGATGTACTATTCTCTTCAAAGTCTCATAGAAATTTATTGAGTTTCAAAGATATTCATCTAAATTGATATCATATCAAGATAGCAAATGCGAATTCTTATATGTTATAATCATTATATCATGTAGAAAATATCTATCAAAAAATTTATTCGTTTTCTCTTCTAGTCTTTGTTACAAACATTGAAATGATTAAAACTAATATTATAGTAAATTAGAAGTTTACTAATTCAAATACTTTTATTATGTGACGTGACCAGTTGTGCTATCTTAGGTCTTTCATGATGCGAAAAAATTATTCAAAAAAAATTATATGAATATCTATTGAAGAGCCGAGAAGATTCTTCAATTTAATGAACTTTCATGTTCTACATTTTGCTAAGGTAAATTGATAATTAAGCCATCATCAAGTAAAATTGAGATTGAATCTCCAGTATTTTAAAATGTATTCAAGGTGATATATATGGATTAATTCATCCACCATGTAGACCATTTAAATATTTTACGATTTTGACAAATGCATCCACAAGATGGTCACATGCTTATTATCTACACGAAACCCGATGTTTTCGAGATTGCTAGCAAATAATTTGATTTTGAGCATAATTTTTAAATTATGCCATTAAAACAAGTCACCTTGATAATGCTGATGAATTTATTTCTCAAGCATGAAATTATTATTGATTGACTATTAAAATAAAGGTTGAACATCTTGTTGCTCATGTTCATACTCAAAAAGGTTTAGCAAAATCATTTATCAAAAAGCTTGAATTAATAGCTAAACTATTATTTAAAAATAAAACTATTTGTTTATGTTTGAGGACATGCAATCTTACATGCAACAACACTTATTCACATATGACCCATAAGTTATCGAAATTCTCTCCTCTTTAATTGATTTATGGTCATGAGCCAATTATTTCTTGTTTAAGAATTTTTGACATTGCAGTGTATATCCTTAGTGCTCCTCTATAATGAAATAAAATGAGCACTTAAAAGAGATTGGGAATATATGAATCCTCTTCGATAATTCAATCTCTTGATTCATGAATAAGAGAAAATTTTTACGGCTCGATTTATCGACTTGTCATTTTGATGAAATAGTTTTTTCAACATTAGGGGAGAGAATAAGCAAAATAAGCGAGTTGAAAATGTTGAAAAAAAGAGATTACATGGAGTACTCTATCTTATATCACCTTGATTCTTGTCGAAGATAATGTGAACTAGAAGTTCAAAACATAATTCATTTGTAAGGTATTGAAACCAATTGCCGGATGCATTCTCGGATCTTAAATGAGTAACTAAAATGCATGTCCCCGTCGAGAATGCTTTTATTATAATTAATGTCCCAGAATGATAATCTATTAATATTATAGCTAACGAATTTAAAGCACGCCTAAAGCGTGGAAGACCGATCGGTTCTAAAGATAAAAATCACTAAAAGAAAAGGGCAAGATGAAAATATTCACAAAACGGTCCAATATATTTATAATAATAGGCTTTCGAAGAAGTTCAAATACCCGAGAAAAATCAAGAGATTTTGATAAATTATATCAATGAAGGGAGAAAACGGGACCGAAAAGAAACATCAATTGATAAGATTTTTGCATATAATATTACAATTGATATTATTGATGAAAATGAGGATCCCGAGCCTAAATTATTAAAGAATGTCAACATAAATATGATCGGCCTAAATGAAAAGAGCAATCTAGGCATAATTATGTTCTCTTATAAAAGAGTAGTTTTTTGAACTCATAGCTAAAACACCCGAATATGTTTAGCTAGTGGGATACATATGTGTATTTATGTAAAAATGAAATAAGAAAGATGAGATTATATGATATAAAGCAAAACTTTTAACACAAAAGTTTTCGTAAAAAATT